TCATTATGCAGAATGGCCCATTTGTATTGTAATATGTGGGATTATAGTCATTGATAGATTAATCTATGCATCACTTTAATGCTGCAGCTGGGCTCATTTTAATTACTTTTTATACTGCTGTGTGTACCTTAATCTATAATAATACATACCATTTTATTTGTTGATAATATTTTGTATTGATAATCTGAATCTACAAATAACTAAATTGATAAAACTGAATAAATGTAGCTAAGTAAAAAGTACAGTTTGCCTGAGATGTAGTGGAGTACACAAGTAAAGTAACTCAGAACTGTATATTTTTAGTGAAAAAAGATGTTCAGTTTAAACTCAAACACTGTTTATCTAGGAATGGCCACTGAATGCATTTTTGACTGAAGATGGGTTAATTCTGTGTAGTTGTTAGAGCTACATCTTACATAGAAGGTTGGTAATGTTGTATGGAAGTTTGAAAACAATGAATATGAATTTTCTTAATTTAACCCTTCAAAAACTTCGATGTAAATAAAATCAAATTGCCAGATAGAAAACCCAACAGTACTCCTAATGATATTCAACTGGTTATGCTAGTGAAGTTGTAAAAGAAAAAAGAAAAGATCCCAATCATATATATTATTTAAGATTTTGTGACTCAACTACTATTTCTCCTTCTGCATATTGTTATTTCTAATGTCTAATGCCTTTTACTTTTATTTATTTCATTTTTGTTGTTGTTGTTGTTTTCAATAATCAATTACAGTCATTTTGAATATGCCCATACAGTCCTGAGGCAGGGCTGGATCAGCCCACAAAGGAGCCCTGGGGCAAACATGAACTGTTGGCCACAGCCACAAAGATTAAAGCTGCAGTAGGTAACTTTTATAAAAATAACTTTTTGTCATATTTGCCTGAAACTTAAAATAGTTAAAAAATGGCCATCACAAGGTCCACAGCCAAAGGTCAGGTCTTCAAATTGATGGTTTTGGCTCATATGACTATTTAATCTATGACATGAACCTAGACAAGAACCTTGTTGTTTACACACTAACTGAATCGTTTATCATGACGAATATAACTTAAAAAAAAAAAAAAACCCACTAATGTCAGCAGTTCCCAAAATTGTTTTTATTTATATTAACCATTTATATGTATCCACAGCAGTATTCTTAATGATCCCCACTTTATATACGCGGCCCATTACAAAGGGGGGGGGGGGTTGAGACTGGACAAATCACGCAAAACTGAAATAATTAAATGTAGCAAAGTTTAGGGGGGAAGGGGTATTTAACAAGGGCTGGGGTTACAGCCTATATGAACATGCAGTCATGCACATTTCAGTTTATACTGAAGCCTTTGACAATTGCATCCACAGGTTCGAAGATCTAAACAAAACAAGTACAAAATAAAGGAGAAAAATAATAAGAATACGCTACAGCAACAGAAGTCAAAATGATGTTTATAAAGCGACAAAAGACAGAAAAAGCATGTGCCCTTTGTATTAAAAAAAAGTAGCAGGTCAGCACCCGTCTCACATTTTACCTCTCTACATCAGTTGCTACAATTCAAAACCAAGTTACAGAACAGCCTGCCACAAACAAACCAGAAAATACCTCAAAAAACAACAAAAAGATAAAAGGATTTACACACATTACAACAATCTTCACACAAACTCCCCAAATGTACCCTAATAATCCACCGTAGCTGTAGCCCGGGATTACTGGGTTGGGTCAAGGTTAGCAGTGAGGTTTTGAGCTTGAAACCAGACCACAAGGTGCGTTGGTGCATGGAGGCCTGGCAGGCACTCCACTGAAGTCTGCAGCTTATGAGCTGCTAACAGGAGCTCAGATCACAGAAGTGGATCAGCTTCTGTGTGTGAGACTATATGCACTAAATGAATATAACTACATGTACAGACTGTTAAGAGTTTATCAGTGGGTAAGTATATTAATGTGAGTATATCAGTGATGTGTGTCTACTTAGTACACATCTACATGTGCATCTGAAGGTCTTTCACAAGTGAGTGTAGTCGAGTCCTCAAAGACCACCTCCAGATCTTCTAGCATTGCGGCGTTACGTTGACACCGGATTCAGAGGCCTGTGTAATGAATGAGCACTGATGTGTCTTGAGCAGCTTCCACTCCATGGATCACCAGCTCCGTTTTGGATTTCCTTTAGTCCTAGTCCACCTCCTCCATGTTGCTGTAGGATGGCGCCGCGCACTCCCCAGAGTGGGTGAAAAGGTCTGAGGGAACCTCTGGGGTCAATGTAGGTGGCCCTTCAGGATCCAGGTCTGTCCCAAATAGTGACTGGCTAGAGGCCTGTAAAATAAACCAGTGTTAACAATAAATCATGCTGGTTTAGTATTCTGGGAGTTTTAAAATGTTTGGAGAAAATTCTGAGGGTGTCTCATGACTTAGCTTATAAATAATTTACTTAAAGACTATAAACAGATGATGAGATTTTATTTCCAAAAGGAGTACAATGCTTTATAGATCAGAAAGCAGCATTTAGATGGAGGTATCAAGATACATTATTGCAGAGAAATTAAAATAGGTTATATTTTCTTTTAAATACAGTACTTGCATAATATTAACAACTACTATATTACAGACATTTCATTACAAAATACAAGTCAGGATTATTCTTTCCAAAGGACCCTACCCCTATTTGTTCTGTGCTCCAATAACTAGCTAGTGTTTTTCTACAGAGCAATTAGCTAGCTAACTAGTTAGCTAATAACATGAATTGTTAACTTACTACTTACATCTGCCAATTTACATAAATTCGTTGACTAGCTAGTTAGGCAGTGTTTGCTAGAATTAGTTTAAGATGTTACTATATGTCGCTTTAATCTTTGAACCATCTTCAAAATGTGGTTGTCTTTTCTTTTCAACATAGACGAGCCTAGCACATAGCATTTCTAAATACAGGAAAGGAGAACGTTGACAGAGGCTTGCTTAGCTGTTAATGGAGCAGAGTAGAAAGGGGTGGGGCTTAGGAATGAACTGTAGAGTACCAACAAACATACACATATTACATCCTTCAGTCAGGTTCATTTAAAATCAATTCAACTTCACAAAAATCCAACAGCATTTATAGGTTTAAAAACAGTGCAATTTGTGCTGAAAACTCCTTCAAGTTGAACTGTCTAAAGGAGTTTAACATCCATTGATCCCACTACTGCTGTTTACGTTGGGTACTGGTAAACTTTGCCCAACTCCATAGTAATGTATGCACAAGCTATACCTTCTAGGGAATTAAAACTGGACAGACTTCCGTCTTGCATATATCTGGGTCAAGTATGCACACTGACGGTGCTCTGAGCTATGCTGAGCATTTAAGGCAAACATGGGCCACTGTACACTGCCTCCATACCAGAGGAGCTCTGGGATTCCCCATGTACACACGCACAATCACTGCAGCAGCAGAAGAAATGATCTGTGGACAGCTTGGAAAAGAGTTTAAAAAGTTAAAAACCTTTCATATTTTAACTACTGAACATGACGCACTAAAAAAATCATCCAGAATTTTTAAGCTGTTGTATGTGATAAAGATTTAGAGATTTTTTTAAGTTAATGAATACAATCTGAAAACGTATTTAATAAAGAGAATATCAAAATACTCTGCATGTGACAGGTGGAACTGAACTGAAGTTAAATGTTCATCTCAACAAAACTGTCCATAATCAGTACTCCGCTCAGCTTTCCACTGAAAACAGTGTTAACACATTGAAAAACATTACATTCAGAGGTGGACGGTAGTTCCTTATTAACTGCAAACTCATAGTTTACCTTGGCTGTAACAAGACCGCATGTCATCTTATTCAGTAGAATTTTACAAAAGACACAGAGCAACATGTTTATATTTCATCCTGAGAATTAAAACCATTGCCTGTCTATGGCTTAAAAATATTAGGTACAAAGCAACTAAAACATAAAAAACAAAAAATCAATTAGGAAAA